TACATACATACATACATACATACATACATACATGCATGCATGTACCCAATATAGCCCAAGCAAGTCTACAATATGTGACAAGTCGAGATTACCACATCTTCTGTATAAGAAAGTTTAAGGGCTCTTTTTTATTATATTTTATGATTGTAATTTATTAAATTTTGGTTCTGTAAAATATGTTCATTTCAGAGACTAAATGTTAGTCTAGGTAAATAGGTGCGAGACCTAATAGTTACCGTATATGTAGTATGGGAGTAAGATCATATTAGTGCTAAGGTCGCTTTGTGGAACGGGACTGTGATGAAATTACGAAAATATTTAGTACTGCTAAACAAACTGGAGAAAAGAATGATCCGTGCAGTCGATCCTGGCAGGAACATGGTGGTGGGTCCAGCTTGTTGGTTGTACGGCGTCTGTCGCCTTGCTGTGGACCCGCTGTATAAGGAGCCACATGTCAACAGGATAACGCGTGTACACTATGATACACAGTTTCGATTTTGCACAGTGAAATGGAAAGTTGTTGATTTGACAACCTTCAGTGCAGGTGTTGAGTCGAGGAGCACGGAATTCACGTGCATGACGCCACACACTGCCGCAGTCTCCAGTCCAGGGCCTGTTTTTCATTTTCACATATCGAGACAACCTCCTTCACCTAAACGTGATCTTCACCCAGATGGAATTATGTCCCCTAATACGACCTCAAGAAACATTGTTAAGCCTTATAGTCGCCGTTTAAAGTTTCAATGTCCAGTCTGAAAGTGTATCGAGATGTATTTATACCGTATTTCCTCTGTAAGACGTCTGGATACTAATATGAGAGATACGCACTCTCCACAACAGACGCCTGGTCCATCATTAGTTGTAATTAATCACCTCGATCATATTAAGTTACGGCCTCTAATTATTACACCAGTCACTTAATAATGACTGTCTCCCAAACATAAATCTTTGGCAGTTGTGGATTCGGTCAGGATGTGACTTGTCACCGTGTCAGCCTGAAACAAAACAAGTCGGCCTCTGAAACAGACGCGAAATTCATAGAAGACCGACTGTCTATTGTAGGAAATGCGGTACGTAAAGACTGCTATTGACCAGTCATGTGTATTTGCTCCAAAGAGATTCATTTCTGAAGGACAAATATCCTTCAAGCTTTCTTCCGAACTGGGGCGGTGGGGTAGCCAAGTGGTTAAAGCGTCCACTCGTCATGCCGAAGACTGGGTTCGATTCCCCAGGTGGGTACAATGTGTGAAGCCCATTTCTGGTGTCCCCGCCGTGATATTGCTGGCATATTGCGACATTGCAAGCAGCGTAAAACCATACTCACTCACCCCTAACTGGCGACTATACCAATATGCCTAACAAGCACGCAGTCCACGGCACTTTTACTGAAAGCACGATTTGCACGTTTATTGCAATGATTATGAGCATTATATAGCGATTTCACCATTTGAGACAGTTGTTTCACACTGGTAATGCAGCAGGGCGTGGCCATCTGTATAGTTCTACATCCCTGATCGTGCCGATAGCATCAACACGTGGAGAGCGCCACCTAGGACAATATACACAGTATATACTTAATAGTCGGAGGTTGAATGTCACTGTCATGTGCACCTGCTAAGCTTTTCCCACCGTAGTGGTATTTCACACACAATGTCAGCTGGTAGAGTAACTTGCCCCAAGTCTGTACTGAATGACAGTCCGTGGATGTATACAGTAATTCTGTACCCATACACTCGATACACTCTCACTCATTTCTCAAAAACAAAAAGTAACTAAAGTATACGAGGTAGGTCAATGTTTTTTTCTTACAAAATTTGTGCATCACCATGTGTGAATTTAAAGAAAGCTGGTCACCGAATCCAGATGTTATTATTGATCCTCACAAGTTGATAAACAGGATTAAACGAATTTCGTTTGTTTTATATTCAACCCCACACTTAGCAAAATTCCATCTTTATGACAGCGACCTGCAACCACACCATCCAGTGATTGACATCATGGGCGTCGATCTAGGGGGTACATATACACAAAGAACTTAGTTAAGCACCCCCTGACATATCTCACGATTGAATGAGGCCCGATCTTTGGAGTATATCTGGGACATGGTTGTCGTTGTGTGCAACAAAGGGATCCTCCTGTACAGAACCTGGCCCACTTGGAAGCTACTTTAAATTTGATGCTATGACTTTTTTTGCTTTTAAATGACAATGTAATGAATATATGTTTTTGAAATAAAACTCATTCCGAGTATGTACTTACAATGTTTATTAATGCAAACTTGTTCTCGTCACTATATGGCTGGAACTCAACTCAACCCTTCAGAGGATCAGGAAGCTGACGGGGGTATGAGGAGGAGGGTACTGACTGTCATACAGTCACAGTCGCTACTGACACGTGTAAGACACGCAAAAGGACATTTTGATTGTTCACATTAACCAATAAATTCAACATTCCAGGGCCTTACTTGAACTGACATGGTTTTGAATGAAAATCATTGGGGTTTTATCATCAATTATTATCATAAAATCAACATGGATCACGGGTCAGAAAAAGTCATGTTTTTCCATCCTGGTCACCACGAGAAGTTTTATGTACGTGTTGAAAATCTATTATTGGAAAAATACAGTGGGTGCGTAATTACGTTCTTTGTGTATATATAGATCGTCATATTAGTGCATTTGGACCTAACGTATATTTGAAAGAGAAGACGCCAAGGTTGGAGAGTTCAAACAACGAGTTCAAAGACCTCTGTTGCCTCCTACGAGTGTTTGGTAAATTCCGGTTATTACCCTTCATTGGTCCGTTAAATAGGATCCTACAGATTCTGAGAAATCTGTCTGACCCATACCTTAAATATCAGCTAAGTGAGTCGTGGCACATTGTACACGTTGCAGATCAATACAACGCAGCTGTTACCAACGATATATTCCCAACCGATACGTCCTAAATATATTTGATTATTATCGTATATTTATCCACCCACTCGACATTGAAACTGATGGTGCAAATTAATGACAGGTTGGGGTGAATGTTGCATGTGCAACATATGTTGTATTTAGGATTACACTGTTTTAGTAAAGTACAAATTCTAGTACTTTTTAGGGTTGAGTCCCACCCGGGATTCGAACCCACACCCTCAGGGATTCGAAGCCCGGATGGGACTCAACCCTAAAAAGTACTAGAATTTGTACTTTACTAAAACAGTGTAATCCCAAATATAACATATGTTGTATTTGACCACATTCTAAATGGCATTGTGTAATCACGAATGTTGCATGTGTGGTATAAAAATCACGTATTTCAGCAAAAAGATGATGGTCAAATGTATCGCACGTGTGACAGATTCCAGATATACTCATGGAAACAAATAAAGGAACACACGAAAGGACACGTGTTCCTTGATGCTTTCCCGGCTTTCCCCCAACAGTGCAATACAAAGCATGCGAAGAAACCTAGAAAAGAAGAAAGGAACACTTTTGCTTTCATGTTTTCCCTTATTTGTTTCCATGAGTATATTAACTTTATTTTAGCTAACTGACAACACAGGATAAAATCAGGCCTCGTTTGTTGTTTAACGTCGCACTCAGCAATATTCCCGCTATATGACGGCGGTCTGTCAATAATCGACAATCAAGTGATCGACATCATCGGCATCGATCTCAGCAACAGGGATACAATGCATCAGTCGAGTCAGCGAGGCAGGCCAACAGCTCGCTTCGTACAAGCACTGTTCGCCGAAGAACAATTCTAACTCGGAATTAAGTTAGTCAGTTACAACATGGCTGCGACCACAGGGTAACAGACGGAGATACTTCCGCACGACTGTGAAAGCCACAGGTGACCAGGTTTCACCAGGTGTAATGTTCGTCCACCTCATTCCACCTGGGCACACACGTCAAATTGTTCAGGCCATGCACTATTAGAACCTTAACCTCAAACTTCACAACTGTCTCCATTTTTTTACTTTACATACAAAGATATTCACATATTATTTATTCGTTTGAAATTTCTTGACATTGTTTCTGACATATAAGGATGTGAGCGTTCAGAATCTTGGGTATAAGAAACCAGAGCTATTTGGGCGCGGACAAAGGTTCACAATCTGAGAATGATTTTGCGCAGCTTTTAGCAATTTTACTACAGGGGGACACCAGAAATTGACTTCACACACCACCCCTGTGAGGAAAAGAACGCTTTAGCTTACCCCACTGCCCCTCTCAGTCTGAGGGATGATACCTTCACGTGAACACCCAGTAGAGGCTTCACATTGAGAAGGAAACTGAAGGCCTCACAACTATAAATTGCACGATCACCTCATACAAATGTAGCAAAACTAGCCTAACTAAAGGTTATGCATGATTACAAAGGATGGAAGTATCATTTAACTGCAGCACGTTATCAGCTGGAAAATTCATTCAAACCTGTTGTTTCTATTTCAAGGTGTTCTTTTCCATTTGATCACAGAAACACAATCTGAATGTATATGTCGTCACAAGTAAACGAAGTTAGCCCTACTACATTGGGGAGAGAGAGAGAGAGAGAGAGAGAGAAAAAGAAGAGGTGTTGCAGGGGTGCTGCATCCGCCCTGCACTATATATTATGTCTTAGTGGGGTTCAGTTAATTGACAGTGAAGGGGAAGCTTGAAATTTCTTACAACTCTTGGGCAAGTGAGGGCATACAACCTAATATTTCTTATTTCCTAACAGGTTATTTATCATAAGTAAACAGTAGATGTTCCATCTGTTACAGGTTACAATTAAATAATGTGAACAGTGAAAAGCGACCCCAGCCCACCCCTGAAAATTTCTGGATCTGCCTATGGTTAATAAGGTGAGCATTTGCGGCGAAGTCATGATCTAATTCCTCCCTCCAGCTCTAACCTAATATGTGATCAGTTCCTTTACCATATGTGATTTTAATCACAAATATTTTTAGACTTCTCCCTTGACATTGGCTTGATCAAAGATTACAGTGAGAAAAAGAAAAAGCAACAAATCAATGGAACCCAAATTCCTTTCACTTTATTAGGGGGGATGAGTGAATGAGAATGAAAACAATATACAAGTGGGGCCAGTCACTGCTGTCTCTATCACATAGAAGCGTCTCTGACCACAAGGCAACAACTCCAGGCTCTAGCGAGTCCATCTGGAACACCCTGGAACACTCCAGGTGAACACACACACTCATTACAGCAGATCCGGGAAGAGTTCTGAGAATGATTCATGCCAAGATTCGTCACCAAGAGACGATGACATGTCACTCGATGGAGATGGAACATCACTGATCCCGGAATCACTGAAATACTCCTGCAGATGGTCATCAACTGAGAGATTGTCTAGAGACATGGAGTTGCTACTTGAATCAGAGTGCTTCCTTTTCTGGCCTCGTGATTTGCTGCAATTGTTTTCCTGCTCAATCTCCACACTCCCCCGAAGTCAAGCTTGCGGGATCCAGATCTGCAAAGTCAAGCAGTTCCTCAGACTGAAGCAGGCTTTCGATATCCTCAAGAAGCTGCAGTCCTGTTTCATCCTCAATACTTGAGTCATCATCAATGCAAATGGTTGGGATGTTCTTTGCTACATTAGCCTCACTATCACTGTCTGTTGTCATGGGAACACATAGTTCCTGTTTGACCTCTTCTTTGACAGACGAGACAGGGCACACAGCCACTGGGACCTCTGTGGCTGTCTGAGAAGCATGACTGGTCTTGGCAACAGTCTGGCTACCGGGTTCCACCTTGTAGTATATGTGGTCAAACTTAATCAGTTCATTGATGGATTCCAGCTCTGCTGGTGACGCCCCCACCACTGGTCGCTTGGGCGTGGCTGTTCCGGAAGCACAGACGGACAGCGGGCTGGATGTGCTTGTTTTCTTTTGCGACTTGATGCCTGTTGATTCGTCTTGGAGTTGTTCGAGCAGACCAAGCAGAACATCAGGCTGTTAAGTAAAATACACGCAATAAGAACACGATAATTACACCCAAGCTGTGACGAGAAGTGTTACCTGTTAATGTTCAGTTCACTTTATCATAATTGTAAGGTTTGACAAATGGTTGTGTCAACTGGAAACATTTTGCCCATCCTTAAATACCAAGCTAATGACACTCCTGTTAATAATGAGAAACATCAAAGTGAACTGTATAAATAATTATGCCCGTATATAACTACACATTGACATTATTATTGACTTATATATTGACTTAGTACATGCAGCCATGAAAACCATGAAAGGTCTAGTCTAATTTTTCCTCATATGATACCGGTGTGTGATGTTTGTTATTTTAAACTGGACTTGGTTATATTCCAGCTGTGACGACAATCTGTAATAAGAGTCTGAACCAGATAACCTGTGGATCTGTATCACAGGGAACAATCCACATCACCTGAGACACCAACCACAAAGTCCCCAATTCTGACCACCCTTTCCAATATGCCACCTCATACACTGACTGACTGAGTTTGGTTTTACGCCACTTGTAGCAATATTCCAGCAATATTACTGCGGGGGACACCAGAAATGGTCTTCACTCATTGTACCCATGTGGGGATTTGAACCCGGGTCTTCGGAGTGACAAGCCAACGCTTTAACCACTAGACTACCCCACCGCCCCGGCACCTCACACAACCAACCTAGGTTGCAAAGAACCTATTACACGAGGAATTGAAACAGGTTCAATATACTATGAAGGAAATGTGCCTACCTGAGAGTTAGGGAGAATGCTGCGTAGTGCATCATGAGGACGTGGGAGAGAGCCTGTATCTGTTCCTTCGGCAGAGGATCAGCAGGTGCTGCAGACCTGGGGGGTTCAGACTTGCTCACACGCCCACACGACACACTGACAGATGGCTTTATCTGTCCAAGACGCTCCTTCAGCGCTGTGTTCTCCTTCACAAGGGATGTGGAACTTGTTTTCAGCAATTTATTTTCTGTTAGCAACTTCTTATTTTCGGCTTCCAACTTAGCAATCTTTATTTCAAGATCACTCATTTGTGCCTTTTTTCTGTCACGGGCTGTTTGTGCTGCGACTCTGTTTTTCAATTTCCTGGAAAAGAAAATGATAAACATTGACGATATTGTATAAAAAACAAATTACATTAACTCGAAATTCATGACCACAATGAACTTGATAGTGAAAGAAATAATATAAGAGAAAATGTGGGGATCCTACACATGTATTGTTATATTTGGATCTTGGTAACCAATTAATACATACTTCATATTACTTTAACCCAACAAATACTTCACTTTCATTCACGATTTCATGAAAATACATGACATGACGAAAGGGTTCAAAGTTTAAGTTTTTTAACACTTAATACGGTATCCCGGTGTCAGGGGTTTTCGACGATGTAAGACCAAAAAAGGATTTTTTATCTGTAATATCATTTAAAGTTTGTATTTTACTAAGCTTGAGTGATAAAGGATATATTCATCTATTTCACACAAAAATATCAAGTGTTCCCTACAAAAATAGCGTTGATGAAATCGTATCGGCGAAACTGTTGCCGCTCGTAACATCCGGGTATTTTGTATGGGTTTTCGACGATGAGCCATACTTTTTTTGCTCCGCACTGCGAGGGAGTGTTGTGATCACGTGGCTTCCTATTTATATATTGCCTGTCACCAGCAGACGACTGATCTAACTGAATTCTCGCTTGCTATTTTTTGTTATAAAGGGAACTGATTTTGCATCGTAAGTTGTATTAACGATCTCGGGTAAATAATATTGATGTTTATTTGCTTTTTATATAACTTTACTTCCCGATTTCCATTGTCAATAAAACTTCTCAGGACAGCGACTGGGCACCCGCCCTACCAGTGAAACTGTTTGTGCACTCGATCCGATCGCACACGTACTCCCCCGATATAGCGCGTGCAATGCAATCGTCGAAATCACCAGAACGTCGAATTCAGCTCGTGTTGGGATAACTGATTCAGTGCCACGCCCTTTTGTACATAATATTCCTGGCCTATGACAGCTGCCTTCTACTTGTTGTAACATATGGCACGTTGACTTCGGAAGTACACATTTAATACGTCAACAGCGACAATTGTTATCAATATGTTCCAGAAAATCAGTGACGTCGGCAAGTAGATCTATATTGCCAACACGACAGCCGGTTATCAAACTCAATGGCGCATACGCCACCCAAATCCTACTATTGACGATCGGCCATAACGACCAATGTAAACAAACCTTGAACATCAGATAGTCACAACTACATGATTAACTGTTTCCTAAAAACCTACCTTCGCAACATTTTTTCTTCAACTGACAAATGTGTCAAGCGTCGTCGTTTTTTCGGTGCCCCTTCTTCGTCCATGTTGTCCGAGAGAGCCATGGAGCGATAGGCGGGCTGTTTGCCCGGCATCGTGGTGATCACGATAGTTTTAGGGCTTAGCAGAGACATTATTCGTAGTCGGTGTACAATATCCTTGGGTCGGAAATGGATCGGTTCAACATCTAAGGGTAGTTTTCAAGGCTTGTTACTGTCAACTCATTTTCAACGTCTTGTCTCTTCCATGGCTTAGGTGCGAGTGCTGATGTGGTCAAACTGCATTGGTTAAAACCGACAGCTGACTTGCGCGAGCTGGTTTCTAATTGGCTGTTGTGCCTGATGCAAGCCGTGGCTAAAAATAGCCTATGACGTTACGTGGGAACGTGGGGTGTAAACATGGAACAGACCGGTTGCATCAGCGATTTGGGAAAACACAACGAACTTTCGTTTTGTGTATTTTATAGTTACTGAAAACAACTGGCTTATTCTTGTAAATAGTCGTGGTGTATTATTCATAAAATAAGTTATGGTGTCATTAAAGTTGCATGGGGTATTATAGTAAAGCACAAAAACATTAGATAGGCCGTCATATGTTGAGTGTGTGTGTGGGTGGGGGGGTGGTGGTTTTGTTTTTTTGCGCACGCAAAAGAAATGATTTATTCAATAAAATGCGTCATATTTTGTGGTTTGCATCTATATTTGTGACATATGAAATAGTGGATAATCCGCATCTGAAGTTTGCCACAGAATAGTTAACTTATGACTTATTCAATATCCAAACTAAACAGGAAAATTCCAACCCTATATAATTTATATTGGCCTGAAAATCAGGTTTTTCAACATATGGAAGGTTCGTCCAATATATGAACAAGTGATATTGGGCACTTTAAACTTCACCACAATTCCAAGATACACACATATAGAAACATTTCACTGATGTGGCATAAGTTGATTTCCTACCTGAAGTCTTGAAACAATATGTTATACACAAAAAATGAGCATGTATTTACAAAACCCAACATCTCTATATATACACACACAATCAGCCGTGAGGGCATCTGCAAATGAACCAGCCGTTACACTTGAGTGCACACCCAACCGCTCTGACTGGGTTCGGTATCCCGGCTGCTTCGTTTCTTGGGAAGTAAACCGAAGTACACAATATTGCACTTTTGATTTGCGATTGTACGCTTATAATTTTGTTTATATGTTTTTTCATAACCAGCAATGTATATTATATGTCATGAATAAGTGATAATTGTGTTTTAATTATGTTTGATTTTTTGGTTGCATGTGACCTTTAAGGAGGAAATGTAATAAATTAAAAAACTTTATCTCTTCAATAAACAAATTTGGTTGGATATGCAGTCCTTCAAAATGTGATGTCATATCGTCATTCTTCTGTACATCTTAGGGACAGTTCATAATTTATGGCTAGGGGGTATGATGATGATTTTAAGGGGGAGAGGGGTGTCACCCATTTTGTTCTGGGGAGGTAGGGATCATCAATTTTGTACACATGTTTCTAGGGGTCATCAATTTTGTACATAAAAATACTACTAAAAAATTGTGCTTTAAAATCTGGAAAGGGGAGGGTCATTGACTTTGTACATGACATGCGGGGGTGTCACTTACTTTGTACATAACTTCTAGGGGGGTCATTCAAATTGTACATGCTAGTCCATAAAAATCATCATCACCACCATTTCAGCAATATTCCAGTAATATCACGGCGAGGACACCAGAAATGCGCTTCACACATTGTACCCATGTCGTGATTCGAACCTGGGACTTCGGCGTGACGTCGACGAGCCAACTCTTTCATCACTAGGCTTCCCCACCATTCCGTCGTCACTTGGACGTAGAGCCAGTCTAAACAAGGGAATTCTGTAAAAATATGTTACCCGTATATCCTACGCGCCCAAAGGACTCGCTTTAATAATCAGGGTCACTGAAACCAGGGAGACTATATATGTTGTAGAGTATCCCTGCTGAAAGATATGTTCTTTTGTGGCCGAGCCTTCGATCTCATTGGAGACAAGGGTCAGTAAAAACATGTTTTTGTTCAGTTACGAACATCTTATTTAGACACCGGGCTTTGTATAATTTCACGGAAGGAAACTTATGTAGTGCATACTGCTGAGAGACGCGTCTACAAACAAAACCGCAAACAACTCGACATGTTAAGTCAACGTGCTGGTTTCTGATTGGCTGTGAGGTGGCTGATGAAATCTAGCTGGTCCCCTCCGCGATATCATCGTGCGACCCGGCGGTTAACCTTGCTGCAAGGCTGTACTGAATGCTGAGCCCATGGAAGCGGACAGTCTGTTAAAATTAGGCCAGTCTGTTAGAGTAATATTTATATTTTTTAGAAATTATCATTTAAAGTATTAATTATTACCGTTGAGACTTGTCCAAGTCTACACGGCGGTGTGCCGGTAGCTGGTATGTATATAAACTCAGAGCTGGATTTCAGTGCTGCGGAGCTCCGAAAAGTCACACACGAGACACACACGTGTTGCGAGAACCAGTGTGGGTGTAAGCATGTACAACTGACACCGAATACAGCTGGCGCCAGACTGACTCTCAGAGTCTGAATATATATAATTATGATAGAAACAAACATTTCCTCTTAATGAGTGAGTTAAGTTTTACGCCGCACTCAGCAATATTCCAGTTAAATGGCGGCGGTCTGTAAATAATCGAGTCTGGACCAGACAATCCAGTGATCAACAACGTCAACATCGATCTGTGCAACTGGGAACCGATGACATGTGTCAACCAAGTCAGCGAGCCTAACCACCCGATCCCGTTAGTCGCCTCTTAAAAGCATAGGTTACTGAAGATCAATATTCTAACCCGGACCTTCACGGGTACATTTCCTCTTGAACTGAATGGGAGCCCCATTGAGATAGGAGATTCAAACCTGAGAAAATTTAGACTTGCTTTATTAAGGGCTTTTAAGCATTTCACTAAGCAGGCAGAAGGGAAATAATGTGGTTCAAGGACTGTGAGACAGATCGAGCTGACAGCTTCAGTGAAACTGTGTAATGTCAAACAAACTTAAATTAGATATGTAATTAAAATCCTTTACCAACAAACACATGAGGCCTCATATTAGCGCCATATTAAAGGGCCCATCTAAACTTTAGTACAGAATCTTTGTCAGAGGCCATGTCGCGAGTTTCTTCGTATATGGTGTTACTTATAGGCCTTATTTGCGAGGTATTTTTAGAATTTAATATTTGTGAGAAGCCTTGTTGCGAGTATATTATTGTATTATATTAAAGGCCAGGACGGTGGGATAGCTTATATACGTCACGCTGAAGGCCCAGGTTCGATTCCCCACATGGGTACAATGTGTGCTGCCCATTTCTGGTGTCCCCGCCGTGATATTGCTGGATTATTGCTAAAGGCGGCGTTAAAACACACTCACTCACTCATGTTAGCTCGGGGCCTCGTCTAAAAGTGTGTTGATGTAGAATATTTGTTACATAGTCCTATGGACCAGAGACCATATTATGGACCAACAGAATTGCGAATCCGACAAAGTGTATATATACTATAGGCCGCTTCTTTCTTTGTTCGATGAGCGAGCAAATATACCAGCCCAGAGGACAAAACAGTGATTGAGAGCTTGAACATTGACCAATAAGAGATCAGTCAGTTTTGCCTAATCGAGTGTTTGTGAAGCGTCATCATATATTGGAAAATGAATGTTGAAAATCTATTGTAAATCACGGTGAAGGTGAAGTTGTGATGAACTGTTCTGATTAACTATGATATGTGGCATTTTGTAATATTTTGACAGTGAAACAATGTTCCAAGGGCGGGTAGGAATAAATGGAAATAACTGATTAACTGTACATTTGATACGGGTTGTAGAAACGAGGGGCAGTGGTGTGCTATATTTTTGACTTATGTTATATTTTGACAGATAAATATCTGGAAAGTGATGTAACTGTGTGTTACGTCAATTATGAAGAAAAGACAAGATATTAAGGAGCTAGTGAATCATCTACTGCCTTAGTTTAGATTACAGGCCCGTAGCAAGCCAATTTTTTCGTGTAAGCCCGATAAGTTGCAAAGCTTTATATATAGATAGTATTGAGGACTTGCCCAACCGTTTTACCTACAGTCATGTGTAAGCCCGGGCTTTGGTTTATAATGGTAGCTATACGGATTATCTTGCATTTTGGTCTTAGGTATATAAGGGGAGTTAACTCTTGCCTCTCATTTGACGTGATGTGTCATCATTTTACCCTGCTATGCTGACGGCCGATTGTGTGATGAGCTGATGAGTGTGTGGTTCAATGGGGTTGAGAGTATGATGGTCTGGGGTGGAATAAGTTACAATCACAGTACTGCCTTTCATGTCTGTCATGGGAGAGTTAATGCCCTTTACTACCGTGACCAGATTCTTCGGAATCACGTCGTACCATTCTTCAATCAACACCAAGATGTCCATACTTTTCAATAGGTCAACGCATGGGCACACACAGCTAGACTTTCCATGCAGTATCTGACCCAGCAACACATCCCCGCAATTCATTGGCCAGCACTGTCGCCAGATTTATCCCCTATTGAGCACTGGTGGGACGAAATTGGTCAACGTCTTTCGCGGCGGCGACAACAGATGCGAAACATCCGGGAACTTGAGGCTGCACTTCTACAGGAGTAGAATGCCATCCCCCGGAACACACGCGATATTGACTTTTTGATTTGACCCCACGTGTGTTTGATCCTTTCTAACTGTGAAACAAGTAATTGAATGAACGATTTTTCCGCGTTGTTTTTGGGAGTCATCCATCCATCATTATCCACTAAAACATCAGTTGCTTACACGTGCTTTTTAAAAAGTGATCTCAACTTGTGTATATAAACGGTGCGTTTTTAATGCTGGCGAGTACATTTTGAATGCTATGCTTCACGCACATGCACGCACGCGCACATATATATCGACTACAAACCTGATGGTCAGATAAATGGGGCTTAAATGTACAAAACAATATATTCATTTATCATAACCTATGCAAATACTTAGGCCTCGATCCAGTTGATGCAGCTTTTTCTTGGGACAATACATTATGGTACTGCCGCTATATGCGCTGTACGGTCGCTTTATGCCGTGCAATGGAATCGATACAAATGTCAGCCAGTCGAGGTTTATCGAAGCACAGGGCCTATATACAACTAAATGTAATCAAAGTTCAAAAATATCTCCCCTGTGCTCTGTAAGCTTGTACCCCATAAACCCTTAATTACTGATTTTAAA